CGTTCTGCTATTTTAGCAATGTGACTTTTCCATGTTAGTTTTGTGTCAAAAGTCATTCCGAGATATGTGAACTCATTGGTTTTTTCTGTGGTAGTATCCTTGTACCTTAAGAGCGGGTTTATGCTGTGACGGGCCAAAGAAAAAGTTTGGAATGCAGTTTTCGCGGTGTTGATTACCATTCCATTGTTGTCGCACCAGTTTGCTAGTAGTTTAAGTGCTCCATTTAGGGCACTTTCCGTCCTCTCCTGAGAGTTTTTCTTAGGGGCGGAAAACCATAGAACAAGATCATCTGCATAAAGTAAGCACTTGATGCCCGTGACTGTCTGTACCAATTCGGCTATGTCATTGATGAAGACATTGAAAAGAGTGCAGCTTGTGACAGCTCCTTGTGGAAGGCCTGTTTGTAAAAGATAGGATTTTGATAGAGCATTTCCATATCTGACTTCACATTATCTTTGTCCAATGAATGCTTTTATCCGATTTAGCATGTTATGCTTAATACCAATCTTTGCCAATTTTAGAATTAGCTTCTCTTTCCATACTAAGTCATATGCTGATTTGAAATCGGCGAAAACAGCCGTAAGAGTATTTCTTGCATCAAGGCCATCTTTGATGTGTTGGGAGAAAGTGGCGCTGCTTAAAGTAGAATTGTGTATTTTGACCTAGGGGGATAGCAATTGAAAGCCTATAAAGATATTTTCCATGGTTATTTATCGTATTTCGGAATGATTTCCTACGAACTGGGAAGTACGGACGAGATTCTTTCAGAAGTTTTATGCGCATAAGTTATAGTATAAACAATTAAAATCAGAAAGCCTCTTTAAACCATCGACTCTCAATTCTTAATGAAAACCACTTCGGTCTTCAAAGAGGGGAAAAACATCAAAGTAACAAAGGGTCGAGAGAGGAGGGGAAGGAACAGAAGAGTGATTCACAGATGTAAAAAGGAGAACCATTTTTTGCACCAAACATGCGGTTCGTATTGGGGTCAGTTATTTTGATTACTCGAAAATAAAAGACAGAAATTTAAATGGAATTGTCTATTTAACCAAACCGATTTCAGTTATAGTTCTAAGCCGTTTAAGAAGCTATTTTATGATTCAGGCTAAACAACCCTCCATAGTTATATTGAGATCCTTAAGAGTGAGAAGACCAATGGGGGAGTAGGAATCTTAAAAATAAATAAAAAAACAAACAAAGAAGTGGGACGGTATATTGAAGAAAAAGGAGGGTCTTTGTACTGCTCGAGGTAAAACCTAGTAGTGAGAAACTGACCAAGTGAGGTACAATAATAACGTTATCAGATTTCGCTTCGTTAGCTGATAAAACAATGGCAGGGAAGAAAGAGATGTAAGTCACAATGAAGAGGCTTGCGGCAGTTGCTCTTGAAGACCTGTTTGAATTGACAGATTAACGAATCGGATCTGTATGAATAGAAGTTTGAGTATTGCTAAAGATGCTAACTAGGATCTCTTGCCTAAAAAGCTCGATGTTTCAAGTCGAAATCGTTAGAACAAAAATTTTAAAATCACCATCCATAGTTTGACATGGGAAAATGTATACAAACCTAAACTATGATATCTAGCACGTGTAGACGCACAGTTTTGGTTCAAATTTCCTGAAACAAAATTTATAATACGTATCGAGATAATAAGATATATTTATTTATACATACTTCTGAGTACATTCCCATGACAATAGCACTCATTTAATCGTTAATCAGGGTAAAGAATTAAGTTAAATTGTTCCGTTGAAGAATAATCTCTTCTTTTTGAAATATCATTAAACAACACGAAGTGTGTTTCATCTTGCTGAAAGATGCTGAAATTACAAAGCTCTATTTGTGATAATGGAAGCAGTGTTGGAGAGTGTGAACTTTTACAAGAACATTTACAAGACTAGGTACCTTGTCAACTTTTAAAAGTTAAGTATTCTAAATGGTAGGTCTATGGGACTAATGATTACTTGCTTAAATATGAAGAAAAATTAAATAGTGTCATGACCTGTCTTAACAAGCTTTAATGATTAAAACGCGCAAATTTGGACTACCGAATTTGGAATTCTAAAGTAGCCCATTATATCAATCTAAATTGCCTGTTTTTTCGGGAAGTGATATTTAGCTTAAATTTCATGCAAATTTGGGCTTCTTGTTGCTATCCATTTAAAGTTAGCAATTTGATTTCACTATTGAATGATAGAACTACGACTGGTATAAAGCTAATAATGCTCAACTCTCGTGTTGCGTTCATATCTGGGTGTCATAATTATTCCTTATTATACTTGTAACTTAACCTTGATAACTACCAGGTTAGACAATACAGATCTCAAGAAAATTTAGGCCTCCGCTGTCAAATTTCAAGGACGATTGTGGTAAAATAAATATTAAATAACAAAATGAAGGCTAACATCCTAAACTCCTGGGATGAATCAGCACTGTCGAACTTAAGTGTCCAACTTATGGTAACTAACCACATTGTCATATCGAAATAGTTTCAATTAGACAATCAGTGACATTGATTATCTACGATAAAGTAGTGCAATCTGAATCTTTTAATGACACCAAGACATTTTAACTCACAAAGAATAGGCTATACGAAGACAGATATGATGGAAAGCATTTAAATTATACTTCTTAGGAAGAACAGAATTATTAATTTGGAAATGACTTCTGATATGCCTTGATATTTTTAGATTTTGTCCAATTTGCATTATGGAAACCAAATTACCAGGGACCCGGGTTAATATTGATACAGAAATGATATAAATGCCTGTGACGGCCTAATGAGCTCGTATATTTTTAATTCACTTAGCAAATATTTAAAACAATATATTAATTCGAATGATAAATGCTTTCATATAAATACCTTAAAAATTCCAAAATTGACAGAATTTATTATAAACACTTGTCACAGTTGAGAATAACGAGTGTTAGGTATTGAATTGTCTGAAATTGGTTTAATTTTAACTAATTTTAATATACTCCAATACAAAATAAATAGTTAGATGGAGAATTAAAGGCCATTAATAAGTCTTTAAATATGCATATGACCTCTGCAGATCTATATGAAGTCTGTGGGGAATCTGGTTTCGGGTCTCACTTTCTTGGTTAAGGTAGTTCCTTATTTACACTCTCCAGGGTTGCTTCTTTACAATTCATCGTTTATATTTCATTGGGCTTGAAAATGTGTACACTTAAAATATATTTTATTAAGTTCGTATGGGCTTGAAAAGTTACCTAAATTTTTAATTTACAATTCAGATCAATCCGCTAGTAAATTGGCAGCTGATGTATTAGAATTTCATTAACTTGAATATTTATGCAACCTTTATTAGACACTTGCAAGTTTAAATCACAGATTCATAGCAGCTGTTAGAAACTTATTCATATTAGGGGGTACTTTATAGTTTTAATAGTAATATTTACATTTCCTTGCAGCTTGACTTAAATGTTTAACGTTTACGGCTATGTCTTTACTGATTGTCTCGGCAGAGGGACATATGGTGAAGTTTTCAAAGCCATAAATCAGGTAAATTTTAGCCAGATTCAATCTATGTCAATAGAAAAATCGAAACATTTATGCGGTCAAGCGAATATCAAAGAAGTCTCTATGCAAAAAGGCTCAGGACAATCTTGTGGAAGAAATTGGTATCTTGAAAAAGTTACATCATCGAAATATAGTTTCAATGATGGACTTCACTGTAAGTTGCTTAATTTTTCGGCTCTAGCAACTCTTCAGTGGGACTCAGAATATGTGTATATCTTCATGGAGTACGTTGGCGGGGGTGACTTAAGCTCATTCCTAAAGACTGAAAAACACCTTTCAGAAAAAACTATCAGATATTTTCTTCAACAACTTGGTACGCCAATTTTTGTTAATTAATCTGCTTTAGCTTTTGCTTTACATTACCTTTATGAGAGAAACATTGTACATATGGATGTTAAGCCTCAAAACATTCTTCTTACAACTTCAACACCTCCTATTTTAAAACTAGCTGGTATGTGCTGGAGTCCAGAAGGACTATTTATCTGTTTGTTGTAGGGTTAGTTAATATTTTTTTCCCCTTTTAATAGATTTTGGCTTTGCTAAGTCGATGGAAGAAACCGTGAAAATGAACGAAGTTCGGGGTTCCCTTCTCTACCTGGCTCCTGAGATCTACAAGTACGGTGTGTACGACAAATCGTGTGATCTATGGTCTGTGGGCATTATCCTTTATCGTAAGGTTCCTTAACTGTCTCCGATGCCGTATTTTTTGTGAATTCTCTCTTCCATTTTTTGATAATTTTATAGAATGCCTATTCGGCAAAACTCCATTTCATTGCAACTCTAAAGAAGGTGTAAAAGCCAAACTGCTAGAAGATACTCCACTCTCTGTAAGGCTTGCTTTGTATGTTATTTTTTGCTGTTTTATTGCTTGATTTACCATTCTACAAAATTGAAAAAAAGATTAGTATCACTTTAAACAAAACCCCTTTGATTTTTAATTGATTCTGTGCGAAGGCTGTTTAAATCTTCCTATGAAGACAGTCTTCGCCACACCCAAGACCAACTAATAAAAGTTAATCTAGATAGGGTTGACGACCAAGTTACTCCTATTTTTATAGAGCCGTAGTGATTCAAGCAGGACAGCATAAAAAATATGTAAGGCAATTTCCAAATGAATTTACTTTATTTTGCCAATTCAATCACTGAGCTTTGATCCAGTTACCATTGTCATCGTAGCTCCGTACATTACCGCTACGCCGGCATATGATCTAAATGATCAATGTAGACAGACTTATTGTCTTCATCCATCTGTTGAGCTGGTTCTCTATACAATAAATGCGCAAAAGTTCTATTTGAGTGATTCCATTTAACAAATTTCATTTTTGACCAGTTGCAAAATATTTTGGTATTTGTTTAATAATTCCTAATCTATTCCGAGTAATACCCCCCAGATATTCGCTCTATGTTTAGCCATATTCGTGTTTTATATTGTTGTCATTGATTTGCACTGAATAGACTATTTCACATTGATTTTTTGTGAAATTTTTATACAGCTGTTTTGTTCATGAAACCAGTTTAACCAGTTCCTCCTCGTTTCCTGGCAATTTGTGCCTTTTTTCAGGTCATTTTATTGTATTACTGCCCAGTGGGTTTTAAGCGCAATAAAGATAACCACTATCTATTCATTTCGTCAATTCGGAGGTGTATCCAGGCTCTCCTCTCACGGTGTTACTGTTGTTGTTGTTGCTGGCGTTGAAGACCAGAAAACTAATTTGAGAGAATATTGCCTCCCAAATTATTAGCTCGGTTTGGAATTTGACTGGATTTAGCACTTGTCTCTGCCTCTGTGGACTTTGCTTCAGTTTGTAGCGGATTGCTACCTTAGTAAAGCCTAACCGACCCAGAAATCTCTATGGCAGATTCTCCAGCATCTAGCTAGACTCCCAACCCAGCTATAAAGGAAACAGAAGTGTAGCACGGAGCACGTTTATTCAGTGGGTATGTTGCGGATAAAGTGTACACGCAGGAAGCTTAATCATGATCAGGGTGGGGGATTAGGTTAAACAGAGGTTAATGATTGGTCACTGTTTTTGTACGGTCGCACCTCCCAATCCTGTCGTGCAGGCATGCGATGAAGTGTCCCACAAGTTAATGAACTTGCGTGAGGAAGAGTGCTACTGAGAAAAATAAAATAAATTGTTCTTATTTTTTCAATCCAACAAGCACTGTTATAACTTTCAAGCTAAATGAAGAATGGTTAGAGGCTCAAGTCCTACCACCTCCTTTTAATGAGCCAGTTCAATTTGATGTGGACAGGGTGTTTTGGATAAATTCAACAGAATATTACTTGTCTGTTTCTCCAAAGGTTTTGAATGGTTTTCCCCGATTTTCCCTAAAAACATTTAAGCCCTTCTTCAATTTCTTAATCATAACTCTCGGAGCTTCCTTCTTTAGATTCCCGCTTACCCGAAATACAGCACAGATTGCATTGATCTTTTATCCAAACTGCTGAAACGTAGACCTTCCGAGCGAATTAATCATGAGCAATTCTTCATTCACCCCTTCATCGATCTCCCCCACGCTCATTGTCCTCAAAGTATCAATAAAGCAGTGAGTTATTCATTTTGTCAAATGTTGACAACTGATTATACCTTCGAGTTTCTCTTTCCAATTGGTTCTTTCTTCAATGTAAAAAGAGGATTAGGAAAGAGTCATAGTTCATAACTGGAAGCACGCAACACACCATGACCCATCTGATCTACTAAAAGCAGTCTATCTTATCTACAGTTTACTCCTCAAGATTGGTGGACGCATAACAGGGCCAAATAGTGTCCAAGATGTTGGCTATCGGCATCGATGAAGTCGAAAATGTCTTAGTGGTGATTGGTTTACTTGTCCCTAGCCATTCTTTAGCTTTCTTCCTTATTTCCATTTCTTTAAACCCCTTCTTCTTCTTTGGATGGGTAACAAGGTCCAATTCGACCATTAGGAATAATGATCCTCGATGATGTCAACGTGATAGCATGTACTCTAACGTGAAACGGTTCAGACCCTTGTAAAGAAATGGAAGGAGATATCATGCCTCCTTATGTAGCTATTGACTGAGATGGTCTCACCACTGAAAGTCACCTTCATACGCGTCATTTAAATTCATCCATTTCAACTATTTCGACTGCTTGAAAATGAGAACAAAGGCCGTTATTAGCTCTCCTAAACTGAAGACATACTATTCCATGCTATTTCAATACTCTTTCAATGATTCTTATTGTATTCTAGGTGAAGCATATCACGTTAGGTGATAAATTGTTAGAGAAAGGTGACACATTTGACGCCTATGTCAATTACAAAGAGGGTCTTATTCATCTTGTCTCCGCCCTCCAATGTGAGTTATTCTGTAACTAATCTCCTCTCCTTTCGATTGTATTTAACCATTTGTTACCTTTTCAGTTGAGTCAGATCCCTCAAAAAGGCAAATAATACGTTCTAAGGTACGTCACTGAACAATTAATGAATGTATTAATTTATTTAATTTTATTAATCAAATTGTTCCAGACGTGTTCACAAAAACTGGAGAGAATAAGTATGTTGGTGGCCTTCTCAAGGGAAACTCGCTTTTTCTCACTGCTCCTGGTGACCATAATTAACACCTCATTCTTCTTGTGCACTTCTGATCATTACTCCCATAATCTCCAATTTTTCCGATTTTGATCATTGGGCCGTCTTTCTCTCACTGCTTTAATCGTAGACCGGCTATTTTGAGTGAATAATTGTCTCATATGGTTAAGGACTTCAGTTAGAACGAGCTGAGGTGAAATCGATTATGATAACATCGTCTACGGAACGATCTTTCACTTAGGCTGGACTCTCGGATGTCGCATAACATTTGGCCTAATTTATTAGGCAGTTATTGGATATGGAGAATGGTAGCCCAGTTTTAAAGAGAGATGAGTGGCAACAGGATTGAATTTCAATGAATCCGGAGAACCCTATTCAACTTCCGTTGCAGAGTCTTCAGGTTATCTGTTTTTTTCGATTACAAGCCTAAGTGTTCATTCAGAGTCATATATTATACCACAGTTGTTCAGGCCCTAGAAAGAGAGTAACCAAAGACGGAGACTTGTTCATTAGCTCTAAATTACTGTAAGTTATGATGAATTTTTACCTCCTCATTTGGGGTTTAACGAGATTGTGATAGGTCAAAGAAAATCAAACCAATCATTTCTGGCCATGGAGTTTAATGACGTGCTTGCTAGAATATGTTTGTTCAGATTAAGGGTCATTCGCTGATTGCTATGTTTGACTTGCACTTCCTAGTCTTCCTGTTTGATACTTTATTTTTATTTGTGAAAAAATCAATTTTCGGACATACTGATGTAAAATGTTGCACGACAGTTTAGAGCGAGTTTACTCTGTTCACTACCTTCTCAAAGAAAACTATTCATTTTCCCAGATGAAAGTACTTGTACTTTTATGTACTTCAAGTTTTATTTCGAATATCCAACATTTGGTACTGGCTGGTGTTAAATTGGTCATCGTCTGTTGGAATTGTAAATCAGATTATTTGATTTCAGCTTTCTCATTATATGGAAGTTGCAGAGGATTTGAATAAGCTACTAGATGAATCTAATGCAGAAAGTCAGGAGTCCGTAAGCGTCATGTCTGGCATTGTAAAATTCAAAGCCAAAGGTTCATCTCCACCGGCTAGACCAAATAAACCCCCTCCAGTTGAGTCAGTTCTCAAACGACAAAACTCGCAACTTCCGTCATCGAGTTTGTCTGCTGCGCCCTTGTGTGCTTCCGATACTCCTAAACTGTGAGTGAACCTTTTAATTGATTATTTTATTGATTGTACAAGCTAATATATCAGCCCACTGTTAACCAATAAGATTCATAATCAGATTTATGATTACTAGGTTAGTTTTAAATTCTTTTATCCAATTTTTTGCGCCTGAAAACTGTTGTTATGCTCATAAGTAGCAAGAGAAGGCCTCAATTTACTTCCCAATTCCCTCTAAACAGGGTTAACATAATAATATAATAGGAAGGAAAAGATAATTAAAGAATATAATTTAGCAGAGTTTGACTTGTTAAGGAAAATCGTGGCGTGAGTGAATACATTCAAAACCTCTGGAGAAACAGACAAATAATATTCTGTTGAATTTATCCAGAACACCCTGTCCACATCAAATTGAACTGGCTCATTAAAAGGAGGTGGTAGGACTTGAGCCTCTAACCATTCTTCATTTAGCTTGAAAGTTATAACAGTGCTTGTTGGATTGAAAAAATAAGAACAATTTATTTTATTTTTCTCAGTAGCACTCTTCCTCATGCAAGTTCATTAACTGAAGCAAAGTCCACAGAGACAGAGACAAGTGCTAAATCCAGTCAAATTCCAAACCGAGCTAATAATTTGGGAGGCAATCTTCTCTCAAATTGGTTTTCTGGTCTTTTCTCTTCAACGCCAACAACAACAACAACAGTAACACCGAGAGAAGAGAATCTAGATGCACCTCCCTTATCACATCTCCCTTCTGCACATTTGCCTCATCATGATGGCCTTCCTTCATCAAGCCCTGACGGTGTCTCCTCTTTGTCGGCATCTGAATCTGCCTCTCATCAAGTGAAAACAGCTTTTGAATATGCACTCGACCGGATTGAGGCCCTAAGTAATTTCTTTATACGGATAAAATAACATGTTTCCAGTATTGTTATCTTAGCGGTTAGGAATGTATTAGTAAGGAATACTATTTTAAAATGCCCGTAATACCTACGTAAAGGTTCCTGTTACATTTTGTCGGTCATACGAGGCCATTATTCATGTTATTTAAATAACATTGTATCAAATGCCGTTTTTTAGCAATTAATCTCCTCACGACGTTTTTGTCAAAACTTTAGTTGCAACTGCTTTCCTCTCTATGACTGCCTATTTTGTGTAAAATGGGCATTTATAACTTGAAATATCAAGTAAGCTTAAGTTTTACCAAAGGCTCTTAAATAATGGATCTCAGTTGCTTCAAGCAAAAATACGTGATGGAATGATGATTGAACTACAACATGTCAACTGTGGGGAATTCATAGTGTGATTACCCAAGCTGACCGCTTAAAGGCAATCAAATTATGACAATTATTTTCACTTGTTTTAGAGAGCATTTCACCCAAAATAAATCCTCATCAAATGAAGCTCATGGAAAATCTTCAGCACTACTACTTTTTAGTGAGTTCTTATTCGCAACTCTTGAACTTAATACTTTCAGTTTTTGCTAATTGCTTTCTCTTCTGTCAGCTAAACAACAATGAATACAAGTCTGCAATGCAGTATATTCAGCATAACTTTG